GGGTCGATTTTGCTACTTTTCGCTTGTCTAGATCCGCCAAGACTTGGTGGAGAGATTATTGTTTGGCTAGACCAGCCGGATCACCAGCTTTGACTTGGGAGTACTCAGCTATTTCTAGAGAAGTTTCTCCCGATCACTCAGAGAGAGATCTATCGGAGGTAGTTTGAGTGTCTCCAGCAGGGTTCTATGAACGTTACTCAATATGAGACCAGATTCATCGACTTGGCTCGTCATGCACTTATCATACTTCCCACCGAGAGAGAGAGGGTGAGGAGGTTTATTGAGGGACTTATTCAGCCGATTCGACTTTAGATGGCCAAGGAGATTGGGGGTGAGATTTCTTTCCAGGAGGCGGCCAATGTGGCCAGGAGAGTTGAGATGGTTCTATCGTAGGGAGGTGGTCAGGGGTCTGACAAGAGGCCTTACCATTCAGGTCGATTCAGTGGTACCTCATTTGGAGGTAGGGATTCGTATGATAGAGGCAATCCTCCTAGACCTTTTCAGTCAGCACTTCAGGTTTCTCACGGTACTTCAGGTGGTCGTGGTTCCCATATGCAATATTCTGATCAGCAACCCTACAGTGCACCACCAGCTCCTATCAGTGCACCGCCGCTTCAGAGTTTCCAGGGTCGTCAGCCCCAACAGTCGATGGTTTGTTTTACTTGTGGCAACACAAGGCACATTGCTAGGTATTGCCCTCGAGCACCGAGTGGCTCTCAGCATCAGGGTTCTCGTGCCATAGTTTAGGCACCGAGTGTTCCATAGCCCGCCCAGCCAACTAGAGGTGGGGGTAGAGGTATTAGAGGTGGAGCTCAGGCCGCTAGAGGTGGAGGCCAGCCAGCAGCAGGCCGTCCCAGAGATATAGTTTGGGGTAGTGGGGCCCAGCCCCGATGTTATGCTCTACCAGCCAGGCCCGAGGCTGAGGCTTCCGATGCAATTATCACAAGTACTATTCTAGTTTTTGGCAGAGGTGCTTCAGTTTTGTTTGATCCAGGGTCTACGTACTCCTATGTGTCATCTTATTTTGCACTGTATCTGGTCATGCCTATGAGACTTATTTGAAAATTCTTGTATGAATATTTCAGTACATAATTTGCCAAATTGTATTGTAATTATTGAATTTTAGCCTACAAGGTGTGTGCCCAAGTGGCGTTAAATTGTGAATCGTTAAGTTGGGTAAGTAATTATGAGGTCTTCATGCTATGTTGTTAGTAAAGTGAAAGCTTGAAACAAGAATTTTGTTAACATGAGGTTAATTGGTGATGTTGTAATCTATTATGAACAACTATTAAGACCGGAGATGTGATTGTGATGCTTTGTCGGGTTGTGGAAAATGTTGTTAGGAGTTGTTTTGGTATTACTCTGACAGGTGGATAGTCCCAATTACAGGGGAGACTCTGCCGAAATTTCTGAAAAATTTGGGATATTGAGATGTGTAAAGAAAGAGATAAGTTACATTATGTGTTTGAAGACGGACTCTACTTCTCATTTAAGGACGTATGACCCTAAGTGAGGGAGAATGTAATACCCCGTATTTGATGGGTGCATAGGCATGAGTTGCTATAGCCAGTCGGAACTAATATCGTGTGTTGACGTGAAAATCGGACCTTTCTAGAAATGATTGGAGTGTAAGAAATTTGGTCTTAAAGTTTACAAATATGGATAAAGGAAATGATCTCAATTGAAATGGTGTTGTCGGACTTATATTGAATGCGATAATATGGGATCAACCGCGAGTATATGTGTAAAAGTAAAATCATCAATTTGGAAACCTCAGAATAATTCTTAGTACGTTTGAGGACGAACATTTGTTTTAGAGGTGGAGAATGTGATGACCCAAAATGTCATCTTTAAATTAAATAATCATCTCGGTGTTTTAAGACCTTGAAAAGCACTATCAATAATTCCTCAACTTGCGTGCACAGTCCGTATAATTTCCGGAAGGTTTTTGTATGAAAATGGATTAAATTATGAATTAGAGATTTAAAACTCAACTGAGTTGACTTCGGTCAACATTTTGAGCAAACGAACCCGGATCTAAGTTTTGACCATTTCA